AAATTATAGCTACACTACTCTTGGTTAATACTTTCATGGTGTGAGTCTTCTGAACGCCATACCATGAAAATACAGCTCTTGACAATAAAAAAATTGTCCTGTCTTAATTACTACTATTGTTACTATTATTGTTTCTTAATTACTACTCTTGTTTCCCATACTATAGGGGATGTCACAGGCAAAGATTCAATTGTTTTTCAGCAGTATAAAACCAGAGAATAAAGAGATATCATGTTTGAAAGACTTTGTGATCTGAATTTTGTGATCTGAATTATGTGATCAGTAAACTTTGGAACTGGAAAATGAAATGAAAAAGATTTGATTAAATTAACACATTTTGTCCAGTTATAGAATCATAAGCCAGGTAAGTAAGAGTTTGAAGGCTCCCACCTATTCTTCAGCCACTCAAACAGCTTTTACTTAAGAAATGCTGAACTTGCCTTCAGGAAAAGAATTAGGATGCTATTTTGAAAGCACCAGTGTTTTTCTACTTTTGATGTCCCTAGATAATAACATAAGATATATTTCCTGGATAATAGGTTGCTTAGATATTTTGTAGTTTAGTGTATTAACTTATGCGTATACGTTACATCAGTGAGACAAAGCATTTGTGTTATTTGCCAGATGGAATGGAACACTTTCAGCTAATGCCATTTTATAAGAAGAAAATTTTATAAAAACTCTGTGCGTGCGCAACACGCCAGCAGGGCCCTGGGCGTGGTGGACACGCACCTGCTCCTGCACCTGCGCCTTGGGAAGCCTGGAGCTCTTGGCAGCTGGAACAAATGGCTCCAGGGTCATGGAGGTATAGAGGAGTCCTGCTTATAGGGCTCTTTGCACAATTCAGCATGAAGAAACGGCATGGGCACAGCCGGGTAACAAGTAACCGTGGTTATTAAATACTCACAAATCCAAAATACAATCTCCAGTGGCTTAAAAAAGTGGATAACACTTACAGAAGAACTGTGCAGATCTCCTTTCCCTTTGATGTAAAATATGCACTGAGAGTTTTGAGTTACCCATGTTGAGAGATGCATCATTCATCAGTTGCCCTTTTGTGATATGATAGTGAAGACGTAATGTAGTCCATCCCATCTATTTATTTTGACAAAGCAATTTGAACTCTTCAGATAAGACTGCTTCATTTCATTTACAACCAGCACACAAGTGCCAGTTCTTAAATCTTGAGGGCTTCCCCTGTCTGCATTGAATTAGTTAAGTTCATACAAGATATATCAGTCTATTTACAGTAGGAATGAACAGCAAGTTCAAACTCATGTCCCTGGCACTTTATGTGGATTTGCTGCTGCAGAGTACTTGACTGTTTTGAAGTATGCAGGAGCAGCATGTTTAAACATGCACTGTGTTTGCTGGCAGCATTCACCTTCTTTTACCACTTGCTGTATTAGTCTTGTCAGTGCAGTTCTTACTCACTATTTATTTGAAAGTTGTTTTTGTTTTTTTTTTTTTCTAGTTCCTGAATTTCTCTATACCTGAGGATACCTACAGCTGTCCTGGGACTTAAGTCTATTAGCAAACGCTGCTGCTGTATGCTTAGAAGTTCTTTTCAAGTAAACAAAGCTGGAAACAATTTTCCTGCCATTCATCCATCAGTGACACACACTTAAGTGACACTGAATCATTTTTAGTTCTAATCATACTGTAACGTTTGTCAAAAGCAAGGACTTAGCTGTAAGGCACCTTTCCAGTGTCCTTGCTCACTATCTCCAGTGGTAAGCCATATTCAGTCTGTTATGCTTAGTCCTAGCCCAGGCACCATGATGCCATAATAATTTGTTTCACACAACTCATCTAAATCCTTACTCTCTCTTCCCACGTTAGAAAAAAAATAAGTTTCTGGTGTTAGATGTGGGTTCAGGTGGTTTACCTGTTCCTCTTTAATTTACTGAAACTCATGTGACTTGCTCCACCCTTTATTCTGAAAGAATTGACCACATGCCCAAGGTTTGCTTTTTAGATGCATGTTTCAGTTTCGTTATGGTCTTTAGAAATGGAGTTTTCAGCCTGTCTGTGTTTCACTTAGAACTTGACTGAGAAGTCAGGCTCCCACAGGAAGGTCAGCAGTCCTCTCTACAAGGAAGTGAGACTTTTTTTTGTTTCCTATTTCACACTCTGAGAAAAGTGGGAATATTCTGTAATTGAAAAATACATACTTTATTGTGAACAATGATCTGCATTTAAAAGAGCTAATGGTGGTTCTTCATGACTTTGGTTGAAAAGAAATATCATGTGTTTTTCCTGTGGTACTTTATCTTTCTTAAACCAAAAAAAAGGTCACTGAAAAAGGATATCAGACACAAAGGCATCTCAAAAACAATAAAATATGGAGAAAAAGTAGGCATATGCTAAATATAATTTATTAAAATACCAACCCTCTTTTTCTTCAGTGATACTTCCTAATCTATCTATAAACAGCTCAATCACTGAAAAATTTTAAGTTCTTTTTTCATTTAAAGTAAGCTAACTGCCCTGCAGCTGACTTTTTGGACCAGCTGCTGGATATCTATATTAAACTATATATCTCATAGAATCAGGTTCCAGTGTATATATTGACATTTTTTTTCAGAAATAAGATTTTGTAAGACTCCTAGGTATTTTAAACGCGGGTTTTATTATATATATATATACATATAAACCTATATAAATGTATTAATATAAAATTAAAATTATTTGTATAATTTTATAATAAAGTATAATTTCAAACTGTGATTACATATAAAGAGTGGCTCAGCTGATTTAATGTCCACCTTCAGGAAGGATTAGGAATGAGGTACAACGTGAATGCCAGTGTAGTATGCTGGACAAACACTGCATTGTCTAAGTTTAAACTGCTGGTGGTGAAATAGTGCCCCCTGATGTCCAGCGAGCGATTTGGAAGTCCAAAAGCTACATTCTTCCCTATATTGTTGGATGAATTGTTCAATAACCCTCTAAAAACTATAGTTAATAATAAGCAAAGCTGAGAACCAGCTAAGTCTGTTATATCATGCAGAGGACTTAAGTAAAGTTCTGTTTCCTTATTGTCATGATGTTCAGGCATCAACCTTTCCACAGTGATGTTTGTCCATAGTGTTTCCAAGCTGAATCCTTGAGTCATCCCCATCTCAACAATCCTACCTCAGGCTGCAGAGTCCTGTGAGGAAAGGAAGGTAGAGTTCCAGATGTTCTCACGGCTCTTTCTCACAACTTCAGTTTTCCTCAGAGTCTGAGCCAAGGTGATGCAGCTCATCTGACTCAGAGCAGAGCCCTTGGCCCTGGCAGGAAGGGGACAGCACACTGGGGCAAGAGAGTGGCAGTACCTGTTCAATAACTTGATCGTGACAGATTTTTGAATGAAAACAAAAGTTTAATATTTTACAAACCTTTAATATTTTATTGCAGAACCACCATCTCAAAAATTACTTTAGAAAGGGGAGACCTGCAGGAAAAAACCATACAAACCCTGTAAAGCTCTGTGTGGATAAAGATCTACATCGTAAACCACTTTTTACTGATATAAAGGTATAAAGAATAAGGAAGCATGCACATCACAATTATCATTGCAGTTATGTTTTCCAGTAGGGGAATAAAAAAAGGCAGAAGTTTATTTCCTGGTCTGAACAGTTTAGATGGTTATATGGAAGTTTCTACAACCCGCCCTTCCTCTGTTTTTCACAAGTATCAAATTAACAGTAATTAATTGATGAAGGCTTTGAATTCCTTAGATGAAAAGTATTATGCAAAAATAAAGAACAATTTAATGAGGGGTAAGTTGATGTGAACATGTGTATGTGAAGAGACAACCTCAAAGAAACAGATTTTTGCCCAATTGATGTATTTCTCCACCCTGCTGCCAAGTTTCCTGATTTCAGCCTGTTTCATACAGAGCTGTTGTTAGTTACTACATTTACCACTTGATATGTCTTTCATCTCCCTACCTGATCAGAAACTTGGTATGTCCTTTCCCTGAATATGCTCAGTAATTCAGAGCACCTAAATAATCTAGCAAATTATTAATTAAAGATGAGGAAGGGAGTAGAGAGGCCTCTCTTCTCATTACCGTAACAAATGAGGCCAGATACACTTTAATTGGCCTGTATAGGAGGAAACAATGAAAATGGATGTGTTTCTTCCTGGATAAACCTTTAGCTCTTATAACAAGAGGCAACATTAGGATTTCACACTGAATCTTGGTAGCGAAGGGAATTTTTCATTCTTATTATGACATTTTAATAGACTACCTTAGACTAATTGCACACTACTACATGGATTAATTGCTTTGGTGGAAGCAGGGTGTCCTGCACCTGTATGTTTAATGATATTTAGCTAGGTATGTCTTTCCCTCATGTCCTGCGTCTCCTGGGGAGATGTTTATCATCCTGGGGAGATGTTTCAATTGGGTTGGAAGGGACCTTAAATACCACCTAGTTCCAACCCCCTGCCATGGGCAGGGACACCTCCCACTAGACCAGGTCGCTCAGAGCCCCATCCAACCTGGCCTTGGACACTTCCAGGGATGGGGCATCACCAGCTTCTCTGGGCAACCCGCTCCAGTGCCTCGCCACTCTCGCAGCAAAGAATTTCCTCCCGATATCTAATCTAAACCTGATTCTGTTTGAATCCCTTCCCCCTTGTCCTGTCACTACGCGCCCTTGTAGAAAGTCCCTCTGCGTCTTCCTCGCAGGCTCCATCCAGGCCCTGGAAGGAAGGGAGGAAGGAAGAATTTACAAAGCTGTTTATACAGCTGAGAGACCCAAGCCAGGCTCGCCCCCGGCCCGCGGTGCCGAGCACCCCTGAGGCGGCGCCGCCTCCCCCGCTCCCATTGGCTGCCGCGGCGCGGGCGGCAAGCGAAGGGGCGGGAGGAGAGAGTGCCACGCCGTCTGATTGGCTGAGGCGGCCGCCTGGCGCGCGCCGATTGGCTGCGAGAGACGCCACTCCGGGCGCGGCGGCGGCTGCGGCGTTGAGGGCGAGGCGGCTGAGGGAGGCGGGAACGGAGCGGGAGAGGAGCGGGAAAGGAAAGGAAAAGGTCGCCTCGGGCTTTTCCGCGGGGAAACAAAGTTACAGCCATAGCTGAGGGCTTTTCGTGTTTACGTGGCAGCCAGCTAAGCCCTGGGGAGTCAGGTAGGCCGCTGTGAGCCGGCCTCCAACAGCCCCATGTGGAGAGACTAACTGAAGGAATAAATACATTTAATACCGCCTAAAGATACCTTTCCTCAGTCCGCATTTGGTATCCCTCTTGAATTTTGCAGTTACAGGCACCTCAGGTATGTTTCCTTGGTTGTGCCTTCAGGGTATGTCCGACTTGAAGGAAAAGTTTAATTGCCAATGGCTGTAACCAAATGTTAACAAAATTAGGATCTGAAGACTTGATTTTAATGTCACATGGCTTCATCATGGTTCTGCTGTGTTAATTCTATTAATTTTTTCTTAAAAACACACAGTGACAAATTGGAGCGGAGGAACACAGGTTTTTTGTAGGTTTAAGTAAGTGTGTGGAGCTATGAGGATCTGACAAAGAGCAACTTTTAATGGAAAGGCTCTTTTCCTATTTTTCAAAATTTTGATTGGAAAAGGACTGAAGGCTCCTACTGAAAAAAAAAAAGCTTTATCAAATTAGAACTAAATCGAAGGACTCATCACAGTTGGCTTAGGGCACAAGGCTGAGATAATTAGTACTGATAAAATTGATTTCCCATCACCTGACGTATAAGCTCTACTGAAACGCTTCGTGTGAACTAAAGAAATGTAGAGTACTAAGGCTCAAACTGACTGTTTTTGTAGTTAATTTCTTCTTCTTTTTTAACAGGAACCTTTACTTACCGAAATGAAACACAATCTGGTGTGTCAGACACCTCTCACTGTCACTGTTCGTGTAAAATCGAGTGCATCCAGATCACATCAGCAAAAAAAACTTAATAGACTAAAGCGACCTGCTTTTAAAGAAAATTGTGAAAAGGGGGTTCCTGGTCAGAAATATAAATGTCCAAAGGGACCATGTCTAATTATTCAGCGTCAGGAAATGACGGCTTTCTTTAAATTATTTGGTAGGTTAATAATGACAGCTACAAATGTATTGACTGAACAGAATGTTTTTTAAGCTCAGTAATTTTGAGAGTGCTTTTTATATGAAAACTAATGGCAATTCTTTATCTAAACATATTTTGTTGCTATATTTTGGTGTATAAATATTTAATGCTTAAGTTAAAAATACAAGAAGGGCTACCAAACTGATAAAAAGTATCTTTTTTATTTTACAAAAGGCTTAAAAAAAGGCTAGTCTCCTAGTTACATAAATATGTTATTTACTGGGGGAAAAAACGTTTGGGGGGAGAAGTGGAATGGGAAGACAACCCAAGGAGTTGGAGCATCTCTTCCTTATTTGTGTCTCTTTCATATAAAGTTTTGTATTTATTTAATTTAGTGAAGACATTCAGTAATAATGGAGGATTACACGTGGTTTTTATTCGACCCTTAAATGCAGAAGTGACTCAGAGAGGTCGTGATAATTACGGTATATATTCACCAACAGGGGTGCTCTGACCACAGATAAGCAAGTATTGCCCTGTAAAGGCTGCCAGGTTATCAAGGTGCAGAGATCTCAGCAGTCTGTAGTTCAGCCAAAATAACAGTGTGATACTACCTGGAACCACTGAATGCAGGAAGAAGTGACCCAAATAGAAGAAGTACTGGTGATTTGTCACCTTCGTTTGATGTTAGTGAGAATGGATGAGATTTAGTCAGTAGATTTTCCACCTTGCCTTTATGGTGGTTTGTCTTCTTTTTTCCCTTAAGTTTTTTCACACCTGATCTCCTAGTCCCCTCAGTTTCTCTGTTCTCCACTGGTGGGTCTAGTTTCTTTCCTTTTATTTGGTTTGATGAAACGACCACCTGTTATTTATTTATTTACAAATACTTTTTAACATAAACAATTTTGGTGTTTGAAATGCTACAACTTTTGCTTGTTGCAGACGATGATTTAATCCAAGACTTCCTTTGGATGGACTGTTGCTGTAAAATTGCAGACAAGGTAAGTGTATTTCCTTCTAAGTTAATAGAAAATACCTTTAGAAAGAAATGTCCCCTTAATTACTTGATACTTTAATGCAAATACAGAACATAATTTTTTCCTAATGGATTCATATGGAAGTTTCACGAAACTCAATTTATGCTTTCCTCATTGATAAAAATGATGAAATATCTTGGTGCAAGATAAATGTGCTAATCAATTTAGGAAATAAGGTACTGAACACATTGCTACTTCATTTTACATTTTAAAACAGTATCTCTTGGCAATGACTTTCGTTTATTTCAAGAGGGCTAACTTCACAACAAGTGAGCATACCAGAATCAACTTCTTTGTTGCTCTGTAAGTACTTTTAAATTATCTGGTTTTATTAGGATAAACTTTGCATTATTTTATTTCTTTATGACACCAATCATTATGATATGTGATGAGACTTCTTTGATGTGCAGTTTTCTGGGTCCTATATGAAGTGTAGAAACATAAGCAGGGGTGGCAGGGGGAACTAGATGGTCTTGAAGGTCCCTTCCAACCCAAACCATTCTATGGTTCTGTGATAATCTACATACTATAGATAAATAGTGCAAATTCAACATTCTTACTCTGATGGAACAAGCTTGAGCAGCAGAGAGGGGATTTTGCATTGGTAATAATGATACATAGTTAAAAAAATTAAAAAAACCCAAATCTGAATCTGTGAACTTTTTAAAGCGTTACAAGAAATAGATGCAAGACAATACATGGCAACATATACATGTCTCACAGTTCCTGTTATAAGACATATTCCATATCTCTGCCAGCCTTTAAGTCATTTGTGCCGGAACATTTCACCATGATATGCACCTCAGGAGTAACTTTTTATTAAAGTTTCTGTCACCACGACTTAAGTCAATTGTAAAAATGTTGCTAGAGAATTTCTGAGAATTCTTTTGAACAGTTATAAAATGCCTATACTTTGAAATAGAGGAGCAATTTGTACTCTGTCTTTCCCAAGCCTACATATGATAATAATAATGGCCAGTCTTCGCGAACGAAGATCCAGGGAAGGTCTTTACAAGCCTACATAATGCCTCCATATTTGGCTATACCTACCGCTGTGTATATATATTTTTATATATATATATATATATACACACATATATAAATATACACAGGATTCTGCATTTATGGTGTTCAGATCATATTTTTCCATAACAGCGCTTCTCAGATGCTCTATTTGCACACTAGTGAGGGGACAAAGATGGCAAAGTCCCTTCTGGCTAACATCCACAGAGCATGGAGGAGGGAGCCCTCTGACTCCACTGAAGGGAAAGCCAGGCCAGAACAGTGAAAGGCTTAGAAAGGGACAAAGGGTCTGGTGAGACTGGAACTAGAGGGACTATAGGGGTCAGGAACAAGTGAGAAAATCAGGGAGGAGACTAAAAGTCATAATTTTTTCAGGTGTGATTTACAGGAGTTTAGTATCAGGTGGATCCAGAGGAAGTAAATATTTTCTTGTCTGAGAAGACGATCCAGAACCAAAAGTAGTAGTGAAGGATGGGAGAAATATGGACATTAAAAAAGTCATTTAAGGATTTTTTTTTTAATATATCTGAAGGTAGACCTGTATTTATTTGCTTGCTGCTAATTTAATAAGAGCAAAATAATTGTCCAAGAATAGCTAAAATCCATAGAGTAGAAAATGTAAAGTTCAAGATATCATATAATAGTTTTAAGCTTTATTTAGAGAAATAAATTTCAGTCAGAAACCATTCATTTTAGTACAAGGGTTTCTTGTCAGTTTAGAGAAAGATGTCAGGATATGGTAGTTTTTGCATATCTACTAATCCAGGAAAATCTAGGGTAAAGCAATTTTTATAAGAGCTTGTTTTTATTTACCCAAAAGATGCACATGGAGCTGATTAAGAAAGTATTTTATTCCAAAGACAAGGCTGTATTTTGTTAGTGTTTTTTCCTCACAATACTAGAAAAAAGAAACACTTCAATGTGTCTTGTTTCATATTAGAATTAATTCAATATTAGAAATCATGCTGATATACTGATTTAAGATTGAATAATATTTACAAACACAAACATATATGTGTTTGAAGGTATCTGGCAAACACAGTTGAAGAAGACCATGAAGAAGCAAAGTATGACATCTTCCCATGGGCTTTGGGAAAAGCCTGGAGAAAGCTCTTCCCTGATTTCTTAAGGTTAAGAGATCAGCTATGGAGTAGAATTGACTACAGGGCTATTGTAAGCAGACGCTGCTGTGAAGAGGTAGGGAAGGGGATTTAATACTGTGGATGCTGAAATTACACCAGTTAACACCAGTCAATGATCTAGCTCTCCACAACTGCTTCCCTAAAGTGCATAGACAATCCATGGGAAAGAACAGATGCAGCTAAAATGTAATGGTCCATTTATCCTCCATGATTTTTTTTTTCCTTCTGCATTTAAAATATAGCTTGAAATTACGTTTTTAAAATAAACTAGAATATTTTATATTGCACTACTGTTAAAAGTTTGTATTGGCTAGAATCTGCTTTATACAAATGTTTTTTATTTAAAATCTACCTTCATTTGTTTCACTTCATCCACTTTAGAAGTAATTTTCCGTGTGTGTTTGCTTTAAATTTGTAAGTTTGTACACAAGTAAAATCTTCAAGTAAAAATCCCGGCAGCTCAGGTGAAATTTTAATGCCTTCAAAACTAATGATGCCATTTCAACTGACTTTTCAAGGTAAGAGTTTTTCAGTGCATTTATGAAAAACTTGGAAGGACACACTTTTAACATTCTCTGCTATTAATGCAGTGTTACAACCTACAATTTTCAAATATAATAGGAAGGAAAAAATATATTCCTCTTTTGAGGTGGAATGCATATCTGGAAAAGCCCTTGTCATGTTCTAAGTATATAGAAGAAAATCTCATGTGCTCAAGTCCCCTCTCTGGGGATGGGATTAGATGCTTATGGGAAAAGTACAAGGAGTAAGGTGAGTGCAGAATGTTTTTCCCGGCATCCTTTCCCAGCTTCCCACATCATTAGTTCAGTGATGTTGTGAACAGGAAGATCCATCTAGCTGATGTTTAGTAGTTAGTCAAGGACACCATCTTCTGTCCAACATGCAAAGCATGAGCTGGTGTTTGTGATGCTTCACTTGAACATACGAGGCTGTAAAATGTTATGTTTCCACATCTGATTGGCATTTGGATTACTTACTACTGCCTAAGGCAGCAAACTTTCTAGTGGGACAGAAGCAGATAGATAACACACAATACCCACTTCAACTATGTTGTATTAATTCCCTGCCGTACACTAATTGGATCCTTTTTTTTTAAGCATGTTTTCCCATTACTTTTACATTTTCTGACACAGTGGCTGTCCCGATAGGTGATGGCTATTGCTCCAACACATTACATATGGCAGCGGGAACGTTCTGTCCACCACAGTGGGGCCATGAGGAGTTACAATGATGAGCTACAGCTGCCCCGAGGACCCAGCGCTACCCCTACGGACTGCCTGCTGTGTGGCAAGAAGGGAAGATTTGTGCGACTGGGATTATCATCTTCCTCCTCCTCTACTGACACTTTGGAGATGATGGAATTACATTCATCCCAGAATTCAAAGGACACTGTTCCAACTGAAAAAATGCTTGTTGACTCTCTTGCTTATGCCCAAGGTATGGTTTAATATTGCAAATAATTTTTATTTAGTTTAGGCAACTGAGGTTGTATTTGTCTTTCAGAGTAGTGCAGGAACTTCTGTGTCCTTCCCTATAACCTTGGCACAACTTTGCTTTTACTGCCACAGATCCATTTTCATTTTCCTATCTTCTATCTTGACTTCCTGGAAGTACCATCTGCTTTACATTGAGTCTCTTGTTCAAATTACCTTCATCTACTACAGTAGATTTTGGGTTGCACTGTAGTCTATCTAGGCATTTATTACTATTCTAGCATTATACATGAAATTGAGAATTCTATTTTTAGCACTTAGGAGTGGGTGGAAGAAACAATAAATATACTGAGGTGTGCCATGTAAGTTAAAAGAGCAGGTGTTTTGTGAGTTAAAGTGCTCTTGCTGAGATCACTGTTCTTAGAGAGGGCAGGCTGCTCAGTTGTGGTCATCAGTTTGGACATAGGTTAAATCACAATTCACATTTTCCTTGCATCTTAAATTTTGACAGTTTAAGCTTCATTTTCAGACTGGGGTATGAGTAAAAAACAGTACAAAAGTTTGTGAAAACTGTTTATCTGTTTGAATCTCTGCACATTAATCTACTCAAAATGGCATCTTCGGCCTTTGCACCAGAAGCCTCCATTACATAGAGAAGCTATGGGGCACACTCATTATTAAATAATTATTAAAAGTAGAACACATTTGAAATTTATAGCTCTGTATTTTTTATTTGGATATGTTCTCATTAATATCCACTTTTTGCTATTATAGTAAGATTGTGGTGCTTTTGACATCTTTAGTATAACTTTGTGATTCTCAAGGGATCCCTGAACTTTGAAAAATTTGGCATTTGAATTCTTCCTGAGATACAGAATAAGTTAGGTGTCTATAACACATCACTTAATAATTTAATGTATTAAACAGCACCAGCTGCTCATGTAAGACCCTAAAAGACTTAATTTTAAGTCTATGTTTACTTGAGAGATCTTGCTTTTCATATCAGAAAAGATTGTTTACGTTGATTGTTTGACAACGTTTAAAACAAAGGTCACAATTAACCAGGCAACTTTCAGCATGAGTGGCAGAAGTGAACCAAAGCTGTACATGTCAACAACTGCCTGTCTCTTGAAATGAGCACAGCTTTATCAAGCGAGAACATTCAGTGAATTTCAGTAGCTCTTTAAGAACCTTGTTCTTAAAGAAACCCACAGTCACCAGTTGGTAGCCAACCAAGCATTCATTTAAAAGAACAGACTTTGATCTCTTATTTTCTTACTAAATTTTTTTCCTTCATATTTCTGGTAGACTGTCAGAGACTGTCCAGCAAAAGGCAACCATGTAGCACCTTGAACCAAGATAAATCCATGGATTGGTTTATAAGCAATGAAGAATGAAATACATCCGATGAGACAGAAGCAGATATTGTGATTTGCAAAACAATCTGTGCTGCATCACGCCAGACCTGATGATTCCATTAAAACTTTTCCCTTTAAATAGTAGGTGTGGTTTCAAACTTCACATGCAGTAGAAATCAAAGCAGTCATTACTTCAAAGTTACCACAACTTGCAAAATGTAGCAGCTACTTTGTAATGTTTTATTTTATTCTGATACAATATTCAAATTAGAAGCTAACACAGCAGCAGCATCAAGAAAGCAGTGGCCGAAACTTTCTCAGCTTGGCAAGGAATGCTAATCAAAAAACAAAACAAGTTACTACTTCAGTATTTCAGTATGGAATGATTATTTTATTATTATAAGTTTTATGATTTCATGATATAGTAACATGCTAGTACAAAAAAAAAAAAAAACATTTTCCAAGTGTCTCACCTGAATGAGCTTCCTGCCAGTAAGACGGTCTAGCGATGTAAGGCACCGAGTGATATGTTTCAGCATCCTCAGAAAGTGACTCTGTCAGAAGTACATTTAGTTTTTTACTTCTTTCCCACAGGTTTAAGACATATATGCAGACTAGAGTTGACAATGTGCACAAATTACTTTTCCCTGATAATTTTTTTTTTGCTTCTGTTATGGTGCTTTGTTGTAACCTATGACTCTTTGCTCTGGTATGGATTTTGCAAATCTATACTCTCTCTATATCTATACGTTGTATGTATATATATATGTGTGTGCGTGTGTGAGGCATCGTTTTTGGACAGTGTGAGTTTTAAAGCAGAGCACACTGGCACTATTTCTTCTACGGAATCCTTAAGTCCATCAGGGTCCTCTAAAGCAGCCTTGGGACAACTACAAGGAACTGAATTTTATTGAAAAACAAAAATTTGAAAACACTAGTAGAAGGGCAGTCATTCTTTATCACATTTTATTTTCTATTTAGTCTAAATTATTAATAAGATATTTAAAATTAAATAATTACTATCATAGTCTTTTGCAAACTTGACAAGGTCTAGGCTGTCCAAAACCTTGTCTATTCTCAGCTGATCTAAGAAAAAATACTGCCTCTTCCTATACTGGATTATCAAACTGCAGTAAGAGAGTCTCTCATCAGCAGTAATGTTCTTACCATTGTATTCGCTTTCTTTAAGAATTGCTTGATCCTCAATGTGGATTTCTTCATATTCCTTTTGAGGTGGTTCTTCAGTATTTTCTTGAGTTTCCACCATTTGGCTTGATTTGCAATTCTTGATTTTAGCAGGGACTACTAACCAGTTTCTGTGAGTTACCTCAACAATCCTTTCACACAAAAAAGGAAGCTTGCAGGTCCGTATTCTGTCTAAAAGGTCAATAACCTGCGTGATGCTTTCGAAAGAATGCAAAAGATAGAGTAGTATTTTGAAAACTCAAATCACACAATCTCAATTTTAATGACTTTGTCACATTCTTTACCTTTGAGGTTATGTGAGTCCTTCAACTTTAGGGTAAAGGAGTAGCAACCTGACTACTGAACCTAAGAACAGTACAGTTACTTTGAGGATGTCATAAAGTGCAAACTTCTACTGATCAGAATGAGAACATTCCTAAAGTAGAGGCCAAAGGATTTGGGCAAGTGTAATTTATACTGAGATCAACTCCCTGAAGAAGTTGCATGTGAGGAAAAAGCCAAACTTTGTTTAACATTTCATTAATGATGGATGTGTATTTTAAAAGAAGTTTAGTTCTCTAACAATGCCAAGTGTAAGTGCCAGAAGTAAATACTTACTTCGCTAAATACACAGCACACACACCACCCTGTTTCAGGCTTGGGTGTACAACAGGCAGAGCAGACTGAGGGTTAAGCATATCCAGAACTACCTGTAAGAAAAAGATACATTAATGTTTACTGGAAAAACATGTATATCTACCAATGTAATACAGCAACACTTGGGAAAAAAAATGTTTATGGAAAATAGATGCATACAACAGCAGTATGTAACCATGCCTCTCAGAAGCTGAGGTCCACACTGCTACAAAACCAAGTCCTTGCTACTTCCAAGTGAATTTCTATTAAAACAAGTAGCGTTTCACCAACAAAGCAGGCCTGTAGGAAGTTAAATCTCCTGCTAATTAAATTCCACAATGCTGACATTAATAAAAACTTTCCGAAGACTACATTTACTAATACATATGAATACCTATTTCTCAAATGTTAAAAAAAAAAAAAAAAAAAAAAGACGGTTCCAGTGCATCTTCAGAATGAAAAGAGCACGCTATGGTCTCAACATCTAACTTGCTGATTGTTTCAAGATTTAAAACTTGTCTTTGGCAATTTATCCATCTTCTACTAGAAAGCTATTCAAACCATAAGACAATGGGATATCCAGTATCTTAGATTTCTTGTCGATTGTTAGAAGTTTTTTAAAATGGTATTTTTATGCTATATGTATATTGCTTAAACCATTTAAAAAAGTGTCAGTTGTTTAAAGCATCTAGTAAGGAAGCAGTTGTAAGCACTTTGTCTGCTTTACAGGGAAGAGTAGTTAACATACAGCTGTTTTCCCCAGCACGTCTCCCTTTTGAAAATCTGGATACAAGAAGCAGGACAGGAGAGCAAGCAACAGCATTCTTTAACTTATGCTTGAGTTGCACTGTGCATTCTATAGAGCTGATAGCAAAGCGGTTATATATTTACATTTTTAATAAAGTTATGTATTCTTCTGAAATTTAATGTTTGAAATATATATATATCAGTTTTAAAAACATCAGTTTCTGATGAATACAAGAAAGTAAGTTGGTCTTTGCTTACAAGACTGCACTAATTAATTGTAATACTTCTATAGTACAGCTTTATCACTCTTTCATTTGGGAAAACATAACTGAAACCTTGAAAATACTTGTAAATCAGACAAAAACCCACAGTGTTCTTTTCACTGATGAAGATGTGCTCGTTTTTTCTCATGTTAAACTTGATATGGGAATCCTGTTCTAAGTGTGAGCACTAGAGGTTTTAATTTATGTAGAAAAGATACATGTCAAAGGGACTTTTTGGACTCACTCCATCAAGTGTTACAGATTTCATATCTGCAGCAGCTGTTGAAATGTCTTTAAGAATGAAATCCACATTATCCGGCCACTTGTCCGTGTGTCCTATTTCCCATGCAGTTCGCCAGTGTCTGTAATTCTTCTTAGCTAAATTATGATGATCATCTCTGATTTCATAACTTATAACATGTCCTTTGGGCCCAACTGAAAACAAACAAAAGACACTACACTTAAAAAAGCACAGCCTACAACATAAGTACACATTTACATCTCAACCTCACTTTGGGAAATAATTACATATGAGGCAATCAATTACCATCTATTTTTTTTCCTTTACATTTAACATATGCAGAAAAAGTGCCACGTTAGTTCTTTTACAGACAGAAATCCATCAATCCACAGATGAAATAAAGCAGTTATAGTAGTACAGACTGTTCCCAAGATTTCCTCCTGAAGTCACTCCTGCAGCAAAAGACAACTTGAGCATCTGTGATTTCCCTGCCAGAGCTACCATAGGCACCAGCTGAGAATGCTGCAACAGTGGTCACAGCTCACAGACGCTGTAAAGCTGACAGACAGCGACTGCTTCTGTTGTTATTCAGATTTGAAACTGATAGTTTTAAATTTTTTTGACAGTCTTCGTTCTGTGCATAGTTTGTTCTTCATCTGTTTTTCCTCAGGGTTGGGGAAAGGCTTAGAAAACCGCCAGACCTGCTCACTGATCTCAGCCCTACAGACAAGTTTTCAAGTGTACTCTTTGATTTACATAGGCTTGTGTAATTTTCCTGTTATTGTTTGCAACAGCAATAAATTATTTTATTATTTAAGTCAAAATTTACTATCCTGAAATTTACCCTGTTAAGTTCAGTACACAATGCTCCTCATAAAGGACGCATTACCAGGCTGTCCAGGCAGACAGCAGTCTGTGCACTGCTATTCTGTCCTTGTATTACTCCCATTCCTCAAAGCTATCACACCGTTGACTTCTCTCTCCCCTTGCTACTTCGGAATTGGCACAGGCAGCTTTCAGCAACCAGCAGCTCAGGGGGTCACGTTCTGTGCCTTTCTAAGCCACTCCAGTTTGAAGTTGCCAGGCTCCTTCCCTCACCTGTGTGATCCTACTGTGAATCCATTCAGATAACAGAATAAAAGCAGTGATGTATTTCCCAACAGTCGCTCCTTGATCCAGCTCACCAGGCAAAGGCTGGAGCCAACATGTAAGAAGGGAGGGTTTCAGCAGGTTGCCTTGGATCACCTTAAGCAGTTACAGAATTGCAGCACAAAGTCTTTGTTACTCCCGATTATCAGTTTAGAAACATCAGAAGAATAAAACTGTTCACATTGGGGGACAATCTTACTCCTGCTCATTCAAAATATTTCCTACATTTTGTAACTGACTTTTTAATGGGAAAAATAAGAACTAGTTAAAATTAGTAGACAAAACTCTTTGTTATTGTAAACCTACAGTATGTCAAGCTTACATACACTGTATTTTCCAGTTTTCAAGGATCTTAAAGTCACAGCAAATGCCACAGTCTTAACTTTGTCTACTACTGCATGTCAGTAGTTTCTGTGAATGATTAAAGAAAGAATGGAAAAGAAAATGAGTAACACGACGAGAGGACATTATTAAAATCTGTTAGATCAATGAGAATTTTAGAAATTAAATACTTCCATGGACCACTAGATTTGAATTCCAGCATTTACCTTCGTACCAGCTGTTTTTCTTGTTGGGTATCACTGTATTTTGAAGTGCTGAAGGATACACAGTAACCCCACAAAGGCAGAATAACCCATAAACATTTCACAGAGACAGCAGTCTATAATGCAGCTTCCTAATGAACACTGGGATATAATACAAAAAGAAATGCTAGTTTCACAGCTCAGGTAATGAGTTACTCTGAGTGCCCTCCAACGCTGAACATAAGCCTTCAGAGTATGCAGCTTGTGCTTTTCTGCTCTTTCAGTTCAAGATGATCCCTGATAAAGTTCTTGTCTTTACCTTCCCACATCCTTAAATATTGCAAACAACAGTGAGGGTTTTGTTTCCTTTCTTTGAGGAATTTGTTCTATCAGGAGCCCATAAACCAGATTATCTTGAAATGTGGTTCACTAACAGGGTACCTACAATGAGCTGAAATTTAAGGCTGAGGTTTCACCCTCACTCATGGCTGAGTGCAAGGGCTCTCTGCCTTCCAGAGCACTGAGACCTACACAGAACCAGGCTGGCTGTAATGTGAAAAAACAACAGTGTGCACCCACAGAAGAATTTCTACTGGTAACCAGCAACTGGATTACTCACGTGGTCCATTAAGATGAGGAAAAAGAAACTTAGAAAAACAAGATATGGGAAAAATTACTATGATTAAGCCAACGCCAAAAATAATTGTACAGCTGAAACTCAGCTTTCTGCAGGGCCTTCTGTAACTGTCTGCACTACAGCCCTTTAGGTAGTCAGAATGGTTTGTAGTCCCTGCCCCGGCTCTGGTATAACTTTCCTTCAACAAACTACATGCAAACACATGAACTGCAGCAAAGCTTTTAAGAACGAAGTCACAGAATCAGTCAGGTTGGAAAAGACCTCTGAGATCATCGAGTCCAACCTTTGACCTAACACCACTTTGTCTAAATGGACCATGGCACTGAGTGCCACATCCAGTCTCTTCTTAAACACCTCCAGGGACTGTGACTCTACCACCTCCCTGGGCCACCCACTCCAATGCACGATCACTCTCTCTGTAAAGAACTTCCTGCTGTCCAACCTAAACCTCCCCTGGCACAGCTTAAGACTGTGCCCTCTTGTCCTACTTCTGGTTGCCTGGGAGAAGAGACTGATACCCACCTCGCTACAACCTCCTTTCAGGTAGAACCACGAGTATCTGGTCAAAAGGAAGGCAAGGCGTGACATGGAAATAAATAAATAAATTCTTTGTTTTCTAAAACCAGGACCTCACCTGCTCGTGACAGGAACAAGCTCATAGCGCCAGACCCGCTGCCGGTTTCCAGCACGGTGTCTCCCGGGTGGACATCCATCATCATCAACATCGCACTCACATCCTGCGAGGGGCGAGAAAACCACGGCGCGGGTCACCAGCCTCGAAAAAAACCCGAAAGGCGAGATCCTGCCAGCGACCCACTCTCCCGCCGGGAACTTGTCCCCTCCAACCCACCTTGGGGTAGGCGATGGTGGGCCCCCGCGGCATGAGCAGCACGTACTCCTCCAGCGAGGGCCTCCTCAGCAGCACCCTCGCCCCGGCCGAAGTCCGCAGCACCTGCCCGGGCGTCTTCCCGATGATGTCGCCGTGATGCAGGACCCCGGCGGGGCTGGTCAGCGCCGCCCCGCTCGCCAGCCGGCACATCACCTTCAGCGTCCTGTGGTATTTCCTCCGCAGCTCCGCCAGCGCCAGCTCCCCGGCGCGGAACGGCGCGGGCAGCGCACCCCGAGGGGCCGCGGGGGTGTCCGCCATCTCCCCCATCTCCTCCTCCTCGGAGGGACCATGAGGCGACAACTCCACTGCCGCCACCGCCGCCGCCTCCTCGGGCGGCAGCAGCCGCCTCACCCGCTCCAGCGGCGACAGCGAAGCTTCCCATGCCCTCCGCCGAGGCCTCCCTACGGTGGGAGGAGAGGAGGAGGATGACGATGAGGAGGAGGATGAGGAGGAGGAGGACGAGGAGCGGGAGCCGGCGAGGGCCGCCCGGCGCAGCGCGCGCAGGAACCTCATGGAGCTGGGGAAGGGCGGGCGGGATGAGGGAAAAGCGTCTCGCGCCGCCCGGCGCCCTCGCCCCGCGCGCCTGCGCCGCGCGCGCCGACGACGCCACGAGGCGTCGTCGGCGCGCGCGGCGCAGGCGCGCGGGGCGAGCACGCGGGGAGGGCGGGCTCGGGCGGCCCGAGGGTGAAGGGAGGGAGGAGGGGGCGGAACGATCGCGCTGCCCGCCATGGCGGCCCCTCCGTGCGCCTTCTCGCCCGGCGGCGGCGGCCGCCGCCCCTGCCTCTTCGCCGCCTGCGGGCCCGACGGTCGCCTCCGCGTGTGGGACGCGGCGGGCGGCCGCCTGCGGCACGAGTACGTGCCCTCGGCGCACCTCAGCGCCGCCTGCACGTGCCTGGCCTGGGCCCCGCCGGAGGGGAGGCATCTCCCCGGCAAGGTGAGGGGGCAGAGTGGGGATGGCTGAGGTGTGTGTTTGTGGGGGGGAATGTGTGGGAGGAATGGGGATGGTGGGGACCCCCCCCCGCCATCCCCTAGAGCGCAGCTCCTGACGCGTGGCCGCGGCCCGCTCGGCTTCACCCCGCCCCTCACGGCGCCATGTGGCCGGGCGGGCCGGCGTGAGGGGTCCCGCCGGGCTCCGCGGGGCTCGGGCCACGGGGCACGGCCCGTCGTCCCCACCGCCTTTGGTGGCGGTGTGGCCACGTGTGGGGCGCCCCTCGGGTTTGGGGGGACGGGTGGGTGTAAATCCACTCCCTCTCTCCCATCCCCCCCCCACCCCGCCATCCTCCGGCCTGTATGGCGCTGCACAGGGTAAATCTCACGTGTTGGTGGGGGAAGCGGGTTCTGGGGGTTTTGTTGGTTTCTTTTGCCTTGAGCTTTTTTATTATTATTATTTTATTTTTTAATCAAAACAAAAAAAAGTGGTGGAAGCACTGACTGTGTAAAAAACCATCTGTCTCGTATAAACCTGCATTGGAAGAAGCCTTCCTTGAAAAAGGAGCAAGGTATGTTTGACTTCACGGCGTGCCTTGCCTCGGTCGAGAAGAGGTGGTGCCGCAGAGCAGGTCGGCTCTGTGCACTCACTTAGTTCGCATTCCAGTAAAAGGCACTATCTCACCAGCTTCCTTACCCTTGGAAGTACTCCTGTGCAAGCTACTACACTATCTGGGATGCATCTTCCCGAGCCCAGGAATCCTGCAAGAAGGTATTCAGGAGTTCTGTTCACAGCACACATCAGAGGGCTTGGATGTTCTCCGCTTTGATCAGGGTTTAGTTAACTTCAGGTGAACACTGAACCTGAAAACATCTGGAGTGTATACTGAGGTATCTTTTTATCTTCTTAATGTTGAAGTAATCCTATTTCCTTTAGCTGGAATGGACCATTTACTGAGGAAAAAAAGATGTATCACTTGGAAAAAGTATGTGAAGTCCACTGAGGTAGGAAGGGCTTTTCGCAGTGTGTTTTGGTATATCAGCAATTCAGTGTATTTGAAATACTTTTAAGGGTATTTCAAAACGTGTAACACACAGATTACCAACTCAAGGGAAGGCTCTCCTCAGCCAGCAACTTACTCCCTGAACTTTGAGAGCTCCCAGGACATGCGAAAAATATGGCAAAGAGGGTTAGTTTTAGATGGGCTCGAGCCTGTTCATCTTCACACAATTTTGAAGCAAAAAAGAATGCGTGCATTAGTTGCAGAGCTGTGTAGGTGGTTCTTTGCTCTTAAATGAACTGAAACTTGCATGTAAAAATGGGATTAATCTGTCCTGTATGGAGTCAAACTCAAGCTGACATGGCACTGCTGTGGTGCCATAAGTCAAGCAGGGGAGGTTCTGAGTGGCTTTTAAAACCTTTTGTTAAAAAAAAACCTCTTTTCTGGAGATCTACCCCTGAAACCCATAGGTCCTTGGTTTTAACCTGGCTTAGGATTGTATGAAAATGGATCTAGTCAGACACCATTTGGCCACCTTTCAGTGCTTTCTAATTATTCCAGTATTTTGAGTGCTGTCCCCTGCTTGAAAGTTGGTATGTTTTCAAGTGGAGCTGGAAAACATACTGTTTCTTGGAATAATGATGCCATAAACCTTTGTAAATTGTTGGTTCGTCCTTAGACTGAGGTGAAGAACTAAAGCTATGATAGTTCTGCCAAATACATTTTATTAAATGTGTGTTTTCCAATGTTACTTACTCTTACCTGTTGCTGGAGAATTGACATCTGTCTAAGTAGTACTAGTATTTGGTGTTCAGGGGTAAAATTGTGCCAGTAAATGTCTATAAATGGTGTTTGGCCTAATGACACCTAAAGTAAGTATGTTTTGGACTGCTGCCATTTTAGTGAAGGCCATGTGTTACAGGGGAAATCGAGTTTTGAATTGCAGGCCCTGGAATTGCTGATGCAGGAGTGGCTTGCTGGGATGCTCCCTGCCCATGTGCTTCCGCAGTGTCAGTGCTTCCCACGTGCAGTGCTCATCTCCTGCTGCTCCATGTGGTGCCTTGTGCAAGAGTGCACCTCCAGCATTCAAAATACCTTCTTCCTCTTTCTTCCTAACAAGCTGCAACTGATCTGTCATCATCGACTGTCAAAGCCTTTAGATTTCTCCCCATTTCGGTGATTTAAATGCTTTATTTCACATGACAGCAGCAGAGATTGGATTTCTGCTTAAAAAGAAAAGTCTGTGCCTTACCTAGTCAAGTAAGAACGTGATGGAAAAATGTGTGCACAGTTCCTTTTCAAATAACTTCTTTTAACCATCTCTGCTAATTAAAACGCTGCTTTTTCAGGCAAAGTTGAAGAATTTCTAAATAAGCTTGAGTTTCCATAAATAATGAAAAAGAAAGAGAAATGGAAATGGAAAGAGATCTAGTGACAAGGATACTGATGCTTAGTATAGTTCAGCTCTCCTATCCTGTCCATGAGAACAGCGTGCTCTTCTATTTAAGACCGCGATCCATAAGTGAATCCCACATGGATGTTCACTGCAGTTGGCAGTGTCTATGTACTAATGTAATGCAGGGTAGAGAAGTTTGATGGATTGTTGTTTTGTTTTTTTTTTTTTTTTAATAGTTCTTAGAGTGTTTTCTCAAATCATCTCAGACATTAACAGGTGTCTGAATTTTCCACTGGCATTTCTTTGCGCAAAAATTTCTGACAAAATACTCCACTGGTACTGCTGATAAAGGGTGGTCAGTAAAGAAATGCATGTGAAGAAAACCCTTGACTTCAGGTGGAACCTTTGCTGCCTCTTGCTTTCTTCTTGTTACTGGAAATAACTGCACACTTAAGTGGGAATTCTGGTGTACCTTTGGGTTGTTCCAAGGGAAATTTGCCATAACAAACTGAGGGCTGAAAGGGAGGGTGAACAAGTTTCAGTTAAAAGATTTATGCAAGGGAAGAGAATAAAGCTATTCTTAACTGGTTTTGCTTTGCAGTGGGAGTGTGTGGGGTAATTAGTAAAACTACATTAAGAGCTTGAAAAGTACCAGAAAACACATAAATCGTATTTTCATCTCCTCTCTTTGGCCCTTGCCTTTGCACATCAGACAGCAATTTTGAAATTGCTTAGTTGTCGTTGCTGCCCCAAAATCCAGTAGTTAAACCTTTTCTCATATAATTTCTTAAAACCTGCTTGATTTACATGGTTGTGCTTTGCGACTGTGATGGTTTCTCAGCATCTGTTTTTGTAATATTTTATAAACACTTTTCTTTCCAAGGAAAGATGAAGCCTAAACTAATACTTGCAAAAACCCCAGTGTAATTTTTCTCAAGAACCTGTTTTTGATGTAAAAGTTATCTGTATTTTGATATTTCTTGGCCTAAACAATAACACTTTTCCTTGCAGAAGGTGTCTGTGTTAAATACAGAGGAAAAGAAAGTCATGCTTCAAAGAGCCAAAGCTTTTATCCTGCACTGTTAAACTTGTACATCCTAGTTGTGGTGAAGACTCCCAAATCCTGATTGTCGTTGTATGTCTGGACCTCAGTAGAAATTATTTACATTCACTGTGTGATGGCTGTTGTAAGGCAGATGAGCTACACCACATGGAACTTACACAGAGCTGGTAGTTCACATTATATCAGTCTCCTTTGGCGGCTTCTGCTTGCTTGTCAGTGCATGTAGACCTGTTGTGTATAGGAAGCGTTAGCTTGCATATAATTTTTAAATTGGAGAAAATGCTTTGCTGCGATGTAACAAATATAAGGAGACTTAGCAAAGCCCAATTAAAAAACTTATCAATAGCATTAGGGATGTTTTTCTCATCTGAAGTCTTTGAACAGTGTTTTTATTTTCTTTTTTCCATTTGTGTGTGTGTGATTAGTTATGTGGGATTAACCCAGTGAGCATAAATGCAGTGGCTTCTTCTGCCCTCTTTAGTTTCACAGGAGCCGGTTTTATTCTTTCTCCCCCTCCCTGTGATGTGCTGCATTCACGTGTTTTTGGTTAAGAGAGATGAAGTAAAATCTCCCCTTGAATTGGCTGGTAGCACTTGCAGAGCAAGACAGTGAAGATTTAAGAATTTCCTCATCATAGGAGGACCTCTGGTACCAACAACAGGACTTGGGCAGAGCACTTATTTTCAACTACTGTCATTTCCCACTGTGGAGTTTGGTAGTACTTTCTTTATAAGAAGCATTATGAATACTGAATATTTGCAAGACTCTTCTGAATAGCTTTGGAGAAACAAAAAAACCCAATCGTTCTCAATCAAGTATTTCCATTTTGTGGGTGAAGT